TCCCCCTGGGCACGCTCTGTACCCTCGTGTAGGAGCACACAGCCCATGCCCTTGCCTGTCTCTCTCCTCCTTCCTTTGCCTGCCTTCTCACAGTTCCCGTAGCTGCCACGGCATTAAATTGACAACGCTCTTGGACTATTTTTTAATCTGGCATATAGTTATTTCTTGTTTTTTTCCAGTACTGGGATTGAACCTGGGGTGTTCGACCACTGAGCTGCAGCCCCAGCCCTTATTAATTGTGAAACAGGGTTTCTCCAACTTGCCATCCTCCTGTCTCAGCCTCTGAGTCCCGGTTTGTATTTCCTGTTCACAAATTTGAAAAATCAGAAGAGGGCCATATTTAATGTGTCTCTGAAACACAAGGCAAATCAAGTTGCTACTACAGATGTGGCAGTCAATTGATTTTCTTTTCCTTAAAGTCATTCTTTCTAGAAACAGGTTCCAAACAGTTGCTCTCAGAGCACGAGACACATGTAAGAGCACACACCTGGAGTGTGTCAGTGACTGTGTCTGGATAATGGAAACAGCACGCCCGTGTGCCCCGGCCTGGCAGTTGGTACTGGAGAAGGCCACCTTCCCACAACTCTCCTCAGACATGGGCACACCCATGAGCACCGGGCACACTTCTTTCCTCTCTGAGCTCTGGTGTCCCATCTGTAGGTTGAGTCAAATGGACTAAAGGAACCCTAAGGATCCTCTCAGCTCCGGGCTCTGGTAGTTATAGGACCGTGACTCTCATCCTCAGACCCCTAGGGATGCCCAGGGTGGGTCTGTCACAGCAGCTCACCGCAGGGCTACCAGAAGTAAGGACAGATGCCCCGGCACCAGACAAGCTGCTTCCAGACCTTCCTTGAGCAGCAACTGTGCCTTCAGAGGTCACATGACCTCTCTGAGCCTGGGTTCTCTGTTCTATAAACGAGGCCCTCACCTCATGAGGTAAAGATTCATGACACTATCTGGGAGGAGGCCATGATGTCTACCTTTATGGGTCAGCATGGCTGGGCCATGGTACCCAGGTACTTAATTTGGTCAAACCTTAGTATGTGTGTTTCTGTAGAGTTGTTTTTTAGATGAGATTAACTTTTAAACGAGTGAACTTGGAGCAAAGCAGAGTGGCCACCGCTTTGCAGGTGGGTCCCGATCAGCGGGAGACCTTGACACAGGAGAGACTGATGTCCCCCTGAGCAAGAGGGACTGGAGGGACAGACTGCCTTTGGCTCAAGCCCAGCTCTTCCCTGTGTGTCCAGCATCCCCTGGGCAGAGTTGCCTGAGCCAGTCCCTTAAAATAAGTCCCCACCCCTCTCTCCATGGTCAGGCCTGGAGAGGCATCGAGTGTGACCTTCTTGTTGCTATTCCACGGACCCCCTCCTCATCCTCATCACCAGCACCATGGGAGAGGCGCGGCCCACTGGCCAAGGAGCTCCTGATCCACAGACCCTGCCCCTACCTCCTGGACCTGGTGGCTCCCCTGGCTGGGTTGCCCCCTCCACAAGCCCAATTTCCCTGGCTGTACAAGGACCCACTGCTCCAGTGCCCCCTCAGTCCTGCCCTGCAGACCTGGGGAGAAGAAGGGCTTTATTTCCAAGGTGACTGGTGGGCAGGGAGGGATGGGGATCAGGTCTTTGTTTTCATTTCAGACTGAAGAAAGTTTAGCAAGTGCTGATAAGCAGGAAGATAAGTTGTCATTCAGAAATGATGCAGAAATAGTGTGTGGACGGGATGGCAGCTTCAGTCAGGGCGGGACAGATCCCAGAGCAAGCAAAGCCAGGGAGGGTCAGAGCCAGGTCTCATCTAAAGCCTCTATGCTCCTCCGTCCCCTGGTGCCCTCCTGATTCTGCACCAGCACCTTCTGGAAGCGTCTTGGCTGGACAACCCCCTCTGACCCCGTCTCCCCTCTTTACTAGGAATAACACTCCAGGGTCTCTAGTTTCAAATGGGGCTATTTAGAGGCCTGTCCCTGGGCTGCGAACCGGAAACAGCAAACTCTCCTGCTGCATGGTGAGCAGGGGGCTCTCCACCAGGCTCAGGCTACTTGGACTGGGCACCATATTATGGCAATGGAGCCACTGGCCAAGGCCATGGGCGTCCTCATCAGGACCCCTCAGCAGTAGGCGCCCACCCACCCAAAGCCAGGAAGGGAAGGAGGGAGGAGAAGACGGGGGTGGGGGGCAGCGCAGAGGGGCGGGGGAGGGTGGAGGGGAGTGCAGGGCGGAGGGGAGGCCGTACCACTCCGAAGATGTGGGAGATGTACTGCATGCTGAAAGTTTGGCTCTGGGGCGGCCAGTACTGCAGGAACGTGTCCACGTCCACCCGCAGCTCCTTCTGCTCCTCCTCCCCAAAGTGTTCCACGTGGTTCTGCAGGTCGTCCACCGACACCAAGCAGCCCTCGGTGAGCCCACTGCCCTCTCTCTCCACCCGCCACATGATGCGTGCAGCCAACCTGCGGGAGGGCAGCATTAGGCAGGCCGCGCTCCCAGTCACGGTCACTGTCATGCTGCGTTCATTCAGCCACGGCTGATGCGCGCCAGGCCCCATGTGCAGGGATGAGGATGCCTAGAGCACGCAGGCCGGGGCAGCCGGGTGACTGGGAGACCACTGTAAGTGGACAGTACTCTTCTGTCCCACCGATTGTCAGATCCCAGCTCCTGCCTTTGTTTCTAGAGAAGCCAAAACCGTGTTTTTTCTGAGTGTGGAAATCTCCATGTCTCAACCCTGGCAGGTCAGCTGTTGCATACAGGGCCCTGGAAGGCCTGCAGAGCCTGCCTGCATGCACTGTGGACTCCCCGGCCTCCCTCTTAGCTGGGTGGGGGGAATGGGAGGAGTGAGCCGCCCAGGGCCCTGGACATCCCTCCTGGTCTGCAGGGCCTGACCTGATGTTCTCGTTGGGTGCCTTCCCGTGTCTCTTGAGGGCCGAGCACTCCTTCTTGTGGTCCAGCCAGGCGTCCTTCTGGCAGGTGCGGTCGCAGTAGTGGGCAAACTTGCACTGCCCACAGCGGTGCAGCTTCTCCTGCCTCTTGAAGCAGGTGTGGCACACGACGGTCACCAGGCTGGCAGGGCAGAGAGAGCAGGTCAGGGGTCTCAGTGCTCCGGCTGACAGTGCTAGACCCCCACAGGAAAGGTACAATGAAAAGACACTTATTTGGGCTCAGAGTTCAGTTCAGGTTCGAGCTCACCTCTGGGGTGGCCTTTTTGGTTTGTTGTGGTTGGTTTGGTTTGGGGCACTGGGGGTTGAACCCAGGGAGCTCTATCATGGAGCTACAGCCCAAACACTATTATTTATTTTTCTTTTTTATTTTGAGACAGATTGGCCTCAAAATTGGGATCCTCATGCCTCAACCTTCTAACTTGCTAGAATTACAGGCTACACCCACCTGGCTGTGGTGGCCTCCGGAGGCAGCCCAGGAGCCACAGGGAGAGGCACAGGGAGGGTTCCCTGAGGGTGTGTGCACACTCCCTGGTCCCTTGAAGCCACAGCTTCATCTTGGGCACTGGAGCCTGGCAACCTGAAGACCTCATCCTACTCTGCCCATGGGCCCCACTGCAGGCCACAGTCCTGGATCTCCACCTCCGACACCTTGCCATGGAGCAGGGCCACACCTGGCACAGGAAGCCCTGATATGCACTGGAACCATACCTACCCCAGTGGGGAGACTTGGGCTCAGGAACCAGCTCCGTGGGCTGGTCCTCATCACTCCAAACTCCAGACTCCCACCTTTCAGACGAGGGGCCTGAGCTTCCCGAGGTCCCCTCTAGTTCTGGCCATCCCACAGCAGGCATTTCTCGTGGCCCTGTGGGAGACACCTCTGCCCTCTGCATGCCAGTGCCTTTGTCACATGGTGCACTGTGATTACATGACAGTGGGCTGTTAATACACAGTGACACACGCTCACAATGTAACAAGACCATCTGGCCCATTTCACGTAGCCATTCTTAAATTCATGACATGGGTGACCAAGTCTGCACACTCTGCACCCGCACAGTCCTGGGTTTTGCTACAGGAAGAATAGGTCACCTATGTCACCTGAGAAACTCTCCCAGCTCAGAGAGAGGCTAGGAGAGAGGGTGGGAAATGCACACCCATTAGAGGGCCAGTCTTCTTATCCCAGCTTCCGGCCTCCCGAGTTCCCTGCAGAGAGCCACGTGCCCTGTGTTGCCCTGCCATTAATAAAGAAGGACACAGGCCACACAGGAAATAGTTTTAGATGTAGCCTGACACCAGGCAAGTGGCCTCTGGAATGAAGCCCAGCATTTCAGGTCCCAGCTGCACATTTGTGCCTTTAACCTGAGGTTCCCCCACACCTCTCCAGGCCTCTGGATCTACAGGCCAAGCCTCTCCAGGTCTGTCTCTCCACATTTTGGGGAAATCTGTAAATCTTGAAGTTGACCATAAAGTACTCACTTATACAGCTACCTTGAGCACTGTAAATTAAGCCCCCAGTAAATAGATTAAGCAAAGAGAGATGTGATAGCTTGAAAAACCTTTAATTTAAGGCATTGCCGGTGTTATCTGCTGATCCCATAATGGGACATCAGCCTAAGGATCCCGGGGATGGCCACTGGAGGCCACCTTGAGATCGCAGGCTCATGTCAACCCTACCTACTTTCCCACACCCACACGTCACCAAGCTTCCTTTAGCAGAGAGGTGGGGAGCCCCCAAACACATCCCTCACTCTAGAGATGGCCCAGTATCCCTTGAACGCATGTTCCTGGCCTTCCTAAATAGATCCCTGGGCCACTATTGACATGTGCTGGACTTTTCTCCCCTCATGTACATCTAGGACCCCACTGTTCCTGGGTAGAGACCTCCTCTCTTTGGGACTCCCTGGGACCCTCTTCTCCCATCATGGTGGGCAGCAGATGTGGACACCCAGGCTAGAGTCAGCAGTCTACACAGGGATCTCAAAAGGATAAGAAAATGGGCATTTAGGGGCAGCTTGAGCCTGAAGGAACTCCACAGGCCCCCCCAAGTGCCGCGATCCCTGGATCCCTTCCTGACCACGAATCTTAATTCCCAGGGAGGAAAACTTGGCACCTCTTCGGAGAACAGCACTAGTGGCCAGTCTATTTGTCAGTCAGCTTCCATCTGTCTCCACAGAAGCCATTGCCTGCACGCTCATGGGGGGCACTGGACCCTTCCTTGCCCCAGGGGGTCAGTCTTCCAGAATTGGAACCCGCTGCCTACTTCCCCCTCCTTCCCTGCTCCAAGTGAGAGGCTCACAGCTCCTTCAGCAGGAACAGTGTGGCCCCTGGAGTCCTCCCTCCTGGGTGGCCTCCGATGTTCCCTGCAGTCAGAGGAAGGTGGGCATAACCATGCCATCAAGCCAGGTCCAGGGGCCAGAGCAAGGGGTCAGATTCAGGGGCCAGCCCAAGGCCAGGCCCCATGTTGGCACAGTGGCATCAAGAGGGAGAGACACATGCAGAGCCAGCAGAGGGCACTGCGTGAGCTGCTGCTCCAAGCCAGGCCTGGACTTCCCAGAGTCCAGGCGGCCCCCAGCCACCCGCCGGCAGACCCAGCACCCTGCTCTGTCCCCACCGAGGTGCATTGCTGGCAACTTGTTAGTGACACTGAAGTGCTCCAGGGTGTGGAAAGTCAGTGCTTATTTGTAAGTTAGGGAGATTCAAGGTTATCCCCACAGTAACATCCTCCTTGCTCTGCCACCTGCATCCCCACAAGCTTCCCTGTGACACAGAAGGAGTCCCTCTTCATACTTAGAATTGCACAGACTCCACAGCCTCCATCAGGAGCCACAGGGATGCACCAGGGAGAAGGCCGCTGTCGTGAATGCCCAACAGAGCAGGCACACGAGCTACCACGGGGCCTGGCCAGCGTGTGCAGTCCCCGAGCCCCGGAGAGGGGGAGCTGCAAGTCCCACATGTCAGGATTGCATTCTTTGGCAGGAGTTTGAAGTTTGTTAGCAGAGACTGGCTTGCTGAAGAACACGAAAGACTAGCCCCCAAAAGGCTCCAAATGTCATCTCCTGGCCACTCAGGGTGAGGACACTTTACAATCCCCGTGTCCAAGATAGAGAATAATATCACAATGAGGTCCCACTTACACTTCCTGGATCTTGACTTTGCACTTTTATTAGTTTCTTTTACAAAAATACATTAGTGTAAAATCAAATTATAAATAGTCTCCAGACCCTCCCAAGCTCTCCCAAAGGCACGAGCCCAATCAGAGTCTCTGTCTATCCATAGGGCACTAAATATTCTTTATAGGGACAGAGTAGATATACAATCAACCACACATATTTAAAGTATATTCTTCTGGGCTGCGGGTGTAGCTCATTGGTAGAACACATGTCTACATGTACAAGGCCTTGGATTCAATCCTCAGCACCCTCCCCCAAATGTATGTGCCAGCCAGCTTTCTGTTACTATAACAAAATACTTGAGATAATCAGCCTAAATTATTTTTGATACTGAGGATTGAACCCTGGAGTGCTTAACCACTGAGCCCTTTTTATGTTTTATTTTGAGACAGGGTCTCACTAAGTTGCCGAGGCTGATCTCAAACTTGCAATTCTCCCAAGTCGCTGGGATTGCAGATGTGCCCACCAGGCTAAGATAGTCCACTTAGGAAAAGGAAAGGTTTATTTCATCTCACGGCTTGGGACATTTCAGTCCTCAGTCCGCTGACCCATTGCTTTTGGCCTGTGGCAACGTGGCACATCCTGGTGGGAGCCCATGGCAGAGGAAGCTGCTCACCTCATGGCAACCAGGAAGCAAGGAGAGGAAGAGGAGGAGGTGGCGCCTCTTCAAGGAAGCACCCCAGTGGCCTAACCTCCTTCCAGCAGCCACCTCCTGAAGTTTCCATCATCATCCAAAATCACCACAGGTTGGGGACCAAGCCTCTAGTCGGAGTCATCCGTGGGCTGTGTGTGTGAGCCATGTGCACTTAAGCGCATGAGGGGAGTGGCCCAACGTTGCTGCCTGATTGTGTGCCTTTCCTCTCGCTCTGCCTGTGATCCCACACAGCACCTGAGATGGGTGTGGCCTCCCAAGACGCCAGTCAATCCTCTGACCCCAAGACACCACCAAGCAAGACTCCACCCTTCAAAATCCATTCCCTTGCCTTATTGGGGTGGAACTTTCTCAAACATCTTTCCCCTAAATAAAAACAGGGGTTTGGGGTATGCTCACTCTCTTGCTCCTTCCAGGGCTGGAGCTGCCCCTTGGGGTCACCAAACTGTCCTGCCTTAGAAATTTATGTTCATTTGCTGCATGTTTCTTCACCGTTTTCCTAGTTATTTATACAGCCAGCTTCCTTGAACCCAGTTCATGTCACCAGTCCAGCCAGCTGGTGATAGCCTTTGACACATGGGCTTTGGAGGGACATTCAAAATTCAAGCTATAAGCCAGGCATGGTGGTACACACCTGTAATCCCAGTAACTTGGGAGGCTAAGGCAGGAGGATCAAGAATTTGAGGCCAACATCAGCAACTTTGTGCCACCCTCATCAACTTGGTGAGACCCTTTCTCAACAGAAAAAAATCAAGAAGGACTGGGGATGTAGTTCAGTGATAAAGTGTCCCTGGGTTCAATCTCTAGGACAAAAAAAAAATCAAACTATAGGAACCTACTCCAGCTCCTGAAAGCTCATGTTCTTCTCCCCAAGCAAAGTGCATTCAGGCCACCCTGAGAGTGTGTACGCTTGGACAGATTCCAACAGGTACATCTGTCCACAGACCATCACCAAGAGGGCGCACACATCTGTCCACAAGACTGTCATCAAGATGGTGCACATCTGTGTACCAGACCATCACCAAGATGGTGCACATCTGTGTACCAAACTGTCACCTAGATGGCGCACACACACATCACAGCCTGAAGTTCCTTCCTGGCTCTGAACTGCCTCACAGGAAATGGAGGCATCACCATTGTCCCCTCCTGGCTGCTTGTGGTGTAGCGTTCCCTTTCATCAAGAGCATCTTCTGTGCTAGTGTGTTAGCTTCCAGACCTCGGCACACCTGAGAACCTTTCCTAGGTTAGGGAAGGAGGAGCAGCAGGAGACGCCATCTCTAGGACATCAGGACCAGATGGCAC